CGTTTAAATAACGCTTGAGGAAAACTTCTTTATTAGACTTATTTGATATTTTTCTTAGAAACCTTCATTGGAGGTTTCTTGGGATCTGAGGATGGCAGTTATTCTAACCAGCTGTGAGGAAGGATACTTACAGTAAAAAATTCACATCAAATGAGTAGATTTTTTTGAGGTCTGGAAATACTTTGAGTCCAGTATTGAAAATACCACTAAAAAAAAAGAGAAACGGAAAAAATTACAAGTACTGGATCATTGAACAACAACAACAAATGTATTTAAAGTGTTTGACGATACAGGATGGTTATTTCATCCTCTCTATTGTCAATCGATTCGTTTATAATCAACTGTCCAAAATAAAAGGATGCAAGAACAATTGAGAAAATTCAAAATAACAGATTTATGATAAATTATAGAATCTAAAAAATGGGAACACAGGCTAATAAGACAGCTAAGCAGATCTGCAGAGGGAAGTAGCTTGTGAGGTTTCACTTGAGAGTTTAAGGCTGCTTCCACTAATAGTCTGGACCCCCAAATCCTCTACCTTTCATTGAGGTTAAGAGCTGATCATATCACTCTAAAAAGGGAAACTGTCTTTAAATGTGAATATGCTTAATGCTCCTTCTTTCTCCATTCCTGTATAGTGGAAATAACTTAAGAAAATGTCATTCTCAATCTTTAAGCTATTTTCCTGAAATGAAATTTTTTGATTACTTTTTTTTTATTATTGCTTTCACATCTGTAGGAGAAACCTGGAAAAATCTTTCCTCCTTGCCCCAGCCCCCACCACACACAGAGTCCTTCCTCATGTCTTCCAAACATTACTCAAAATCAAAGAAGTTTCTTTAGAAATTCGTGGGAATTTTTCACAGTTTCTTTCTGCCACAGATGTTGTATGAAATCAGGTGTATATAGGTGGGCTTTTCACATTTGGCTGATAGGTATGCTTTAAAATCCTGTGTAAATATCTAGCAAAAAGATGAGTATGTATCTGTTGTGTCCCTTCTTCCCACTATTCCCTACAAAAATAGAGTATAAGAGCACTTAACATAAGAAGAAACTAGCTGTGGAATTTTGCCGAGGCACATTAGTGTATTCTAGATATTTAATCTATAAGACAAATGGGAAAATTACTGATGAATTTGTGAATGTTTTCCTTTCTTACAAAAGTAGTAAGAGTTCCAACCCCTACCCTGTCTGGCTTTCTGTCATTAAAATAAAACAACAGGGAAAAACAAGTTCCAAAATGAAATGCAAAGAAACAAAACTGTTATACTGTAAGGAGTCATCTGTGAAATGTAAGTGCCATCTTGTTACAGGTGCTGAATACTTACAGGTATTTCAAAACTGGAAGGTTCTTAAATGCATCTGGATCTATGTAATCCAAGTTTCTAAGATTTCGAATTTCACTGTAAAAAGGGGAGGAACATTGATAATTAATATTTAATTACTTATGCCAAAAGAAATCAGAAATGTTAAAATGAAATTTCAGGGACTTAACTCCTGCAACAAGTTTTTTGTACTAGCCAGCGCTAGCCCAAGACCACTATGCATTCTGAGCAATCTTACAGTGATGCAATATCACCTGGATAGATGCCATCCTGGAGACTGGCTACTTGAAGCAAGGGGGTAAGAAGCACCTGAGATTTGATTATGGATCCTTTGTCTGCATAGTCCTAAAATCAAAACAAGTACCCTGTGTTAATGGCCATTACTTTGAACATGGTGAGAGTTTTGTGACGGCAAAGTTGAGTAAAAAGAAGAAAAGTTAAGTAAAACTTTCAGTATTTATATATAATAGTCCTATCAAATTACAACCACCTGTATAGTTTATAATTTTATGGTCTATTTTCCTGGTTAATTTCTTCGTGTGTCTAACAGTATTTTGGGTTAATTTTCCTGTCTCTTTTACAGAACTTATCAAAAAATGGCTCAGGTCACTAAAATTACCTTTGTTCTGAAACTTTAAGTGGACACACTATTCACTGTATAGCCATGTCCAGCAGTTTAGAGGATAGTGTACCTGTGCTATATAATGACATAAAACATAAGGTGGGCTTCATTCCTCACATCTTCTGTCCATGGTTAAGTCTTTAAATACTTCTACCCAGGGAACAGCTTGGTCTGCAAATGGCTTTTTAGTCTGCACATGTTGAAAAACCAGCCTGACACTAATCACAGCAATGGCCATGATGGGTGATTTCCATAGGTATGTAGATGGGGCTGCTCCAGCCATCATGGTCATTGCCTGGAGTCATGACTCTTCCATGTTTCTCTGAAATGTTTGTCTCTTTCCTTAATGTAATTTCCCTCAATCTTTCTCATTCTTCTGTTTTCTAGAAGATTTCTTTCTTTTCTATCCACAGTGACAGCACTGCCTGCACCAATCAGACTGGGCCAAAATTCCCTGTCTAGACTGAGTGGAGCTACCAAATTTTCATCTTTTATTAAAAAAGCCACACATACCCTCCCCCATCACATGCAGACTTTTCATTTCATGGCCTCTTTACTGTCTCCAGAAGAATATGGACATTTTGCCTGCTTTTTTCTATTTCTTTACCTTTAACCACCTCTGGACACTGGTCTCAACACTGCCGGAAGAACACTCAGCCTTCCTTAATATAGAAACCATTTAGAAAGAATGGTGCCCGTCTTCCTCCTGATGCTAGCAGGGGATCAGTAGGCTGAAGAAGGCACTTCTGTGTACATATATAGAGAAATCTGATGAAGATGACAGGTACAGATGGCATAGTGGTGCAGGTTATGTGGGTGATTTTCTGGTCTTAAGTCAGTCCAAGAAGTGCTACCAGTGGGCAGAAACTCAGTGGGCAGAAACCAGTAGTACTTAATTTACCATGGCCTAACAGTGCCAAGTAGTTCTTAGCTACGCAATATAAGAATCAGAAAATCAGAGTTTAAGGCAAAGTCTGCCACTGGAATTATTTTTACAGGATAAAATCAACCCAGATAAGTAGTCTAAGAAATAAAAGTGGGAAAAGAGACTGAAGACAGTAGATACTGGAAGACCTCAAGTGTAATGAGAGAAAAGGTTAAACCATGTGAGAAAGGGAATCAATATGATTCAGCGGAACACCGGGGAAAGGTTTATGTCCTTGCTGTTCAATTTACTTGAATTGGTAATGCTAGGATTAGAAAAGAAATATGCTTTAATATATACTGGGTTTATACTTGCATTTCATCCTACACTTTGTATTACAGAGGTGACTTGAAGCCTAAAAGGAAGAAAAGGGCCTATTGTGGAGCAGATACACAGTTGCTCAGAAGTCTCTCGTCAAAATAAATGAGAGAAAGGACAAAAGAGGTATAAAAACATAAAAGGTGATTTAACAAAAGTGAATGTTACGCTTAAGGAAAAAAATGAGGAGGAAAATCCAATGTTCTCTACTTCTAGTCCAGTCAAATGTGCCTCCTGCATTTGACTGGCCTGAGTATGTGGCCTCTCATCTCATCTCATCTCATCTGCATGAAAAAGAGAAAGATCTTCAGTTCCATTAATGAGCTGTACTTCTGTCCTTGTTTTAAACACTTAAACGTTGTTACTCTTAGAGTACTGGAAGGAATTCCCCTGTACAATCACAGATTTAAAGGATATCTAGTGCTCCATTGATAGAGGAGCCTATGAAGTTAAGCTGATAAGGAGAAAAGATATTTAATAGTTCTGAGCTCATCAGTTAACAGGATACTGATACACAAACTGAATTTCACAATTTCTTTTACAGTAATCCATCATGAGTAACATACTCAAGGGTGCATAAATGTTATATGATACTAATTTTCAAATTGTAATCCAAAGACTCCTGTGGTGTAAAGATTAATCCCGAAGGATCCATAAAGCTAAGAAAAGCAAGTTTATTATCAGTAAATTTGTTAAGCAGGGCTTACACATTATCATTTAGCTTTTATGAATTGGTGAATTGAAAAGATTGAAACTCACTAAATTAAAAAGCTAAAGTTCTTTAAAAAGCAGCTCTAGGAAAACTGTTGGTAGACTTAGCTGCCTAAAATGCAGATAAAGTCAAAGAGTATACTTAAAGTGTCTAGTAAGCTAGTTCCCAGACGTGTATATGTGAACTGATTTTAAGTGACTTTTGAAATGCAATTTTGACACACTCTACAAACACACCTTAATCGTAGTGTATAGCAGTGTAACAATTCTGAGTCCCTCTGGGGATTAAGTGCTTTTCAGATATGAAAAAACCTGAGACAGTTAGTAGGCATTTTTGTTCACCATTAATATAAGAAGGCATAAGGTGCCCTGAACAAACTTTGCAATCCTAACCAAAATTACTTAGAGATGCTCATAAGAAAGAAAGAGGCTTCTACCTACCCACAAGATAACAGAATTATTTTGTAATATTTACAAAATTGTTCAAAGTTACTTTACAAACTATTTAACTTCTGCTCTATTTTTAGAAGTGCATAAACCATTTAAAACTGGGTTATTTGTCCTTTAAAGACAATTGATGTTTGAGAGTTGAGGTTCTGGCACTCAGACTAGGAATTAAAAGTGTACTAGGTTCACAATCAAACCACCACGTGACTGTCCATGAACAGCAACTCAGTTTTGCTTTTTAAAGAAAGTATACAAAAAACTTTATCATGTCAAGAACAGGTATGCAGAGAAAGTCACTTGATATAAAGAGATTATGTCAAGATTTACAAATAATTATGAACTCATGTTCAGTTACAAAGATATAACTATTTAGTTCCAAATCCAAATGAATCTAAAAATTAAACTAATAATAACTATTCAAATATTACTATAATTAATTAATTGAGACATATGTTTGCCAGGTAACTTCTAGAAAGATTAGTATGCTACTTAACATTCTATATGAATATAGTTAGATTTAAAAAGGCACAAATATTTATATATTTAAGTGCATTCCAAGTTTCATTTACCAGATATTTTTTTCATATCTGCCTTGCAATATTGACTCATCCTTGAGTTTGTTTAAGCCCAGTATTCAGAAATTGCGAATCTGGCCATAGAGTAGGAATATAATCATGTTGTGCTGATATACTTAAAAAGACAAAAGATATCCAGGTCAGAAATTCTGAAATGTTTTAAATAAGCTCTTTTTTTCTCTCTTGTAATAACTTGAGGCCCTTCTCTACCATCTTAGACTTACTTTTCCTATAGCTTCCTTGGCTTATTTCACTTCTACATCTACTTCTATGTTTTATTCTCCCCCTACAGACAAATTATTTATGTTATTTCATCTGCATGCACCTGTCCAGCCTTTGCACCACTGGCACCAGAGAATGGCCGTAGGCTATTCCAACAATCTGTTCCCTGCCTCCAGACTGCAGATTTTGACAAGGTTTTTCTGCACAACACTTAACCCTGTGTCCTGAAATTCACTGCAGGTATACAGCAGTCCCCCACAAATCTCTTCAGTCTTCCTCTCCAGTTGCTTCTCATATATTTCCATCAAATCACTCCTTCTTTCTGCAGTGCTGTATCCCACGGCCTGGCATCACAAGCTGTCCAAGGGAGACACAACCCTGGCCCAGAGGATGGGGGGGGTTCCCTGGCCCTTGGCTCCATCTCACTGCAGAGAGGGAGAGTGGTCCCCCCACCAGCTCTCCAAATGACGTCACATACATGAGGGCAAGCCACTTGAACCATTGGCTGTGTTCCCAAATGCTGGGAGAGCTTTTTATGTGGCTGTGTAAGAGGAGAATACTTTTCAAGTGAGGAGAAGAGAGTAGGGAGAGTTCAGAGGAAAGTGAGCAGAGACACAGAGAAGAGAGAAAAAGGAAAAATGAATTTTTCTGGGGTTCCTTTCACAGGAATGTTTCCTTGAGAAACAAAGACCGAATTACAAAAGGTTTTTATTTAGTGTGAGGCTACCAAGCTGCAGCTCTACTACTAAAATTACCACACAGAGATATTGACTGCTAATCAGATACTTTCACAATTACATCTAGAAAAAATAAATACTTATGTAATTGTATGGGAAAGACAGTTCTAAATTTGTAAGTTAAGTTTGACTTACAGACATACTTAAAAAAGAAGAAACAAGAAACCATTGTGAGAACAATTTAACACAATTGGGGGAAAAAATGAAACAGCAAAGTCTTGTCCCTTATTTACATATTCATAGAGTGGGACTTTTGCCATTACTTATAACTGAAATAAGATCTGGTTCATTAAAATATAGCATGTGGTCAGTATCCTTAGTTTGCAGAAGTTGCTCAGTACTTGAAAGGCATAGATTCATAAAAATATGACCTATGCTTAAAGAGAGCTGAGGTCTGGAAGGAAGAGAAAACGAGGACAGAGGTACATGAAGGACCAAGAAAATGAATTGCTGAAGGTCAAGGCAGAAGCACACTACTGAGCTTGGCAGACAGGGATCATGACGAACATAGGTTGCCTATTCACATAACACTTGACTCAAGCCAAAGCAATTAGTTCCGCCCTTCCACAAACACTAAATTTTCTCCTAAGAAGTTCTTATACACAGGGTTTCATTTTAAAGACATTTGTTTTTAAATAGAAGTTTAAATTAGGGTAAAAAGATTATTTTAATTTACATAAAACTGCATTTTAAAGTTCAATGAAAAACAAGCTGTAAAAATGGAACTCTGTGAAATGACTTTTCAAAAATGTTGCAGTAACCTCAAACTCCTTTAAAATACCTTGATATCTTAACCCAGTATTATTTTAGCAATAATACTTTGAAAATACTATGCAAATGGAAAATGTTAATCAAATGTGTAACACAAGATATAAATTTAGCCCCATATAGTTCTGCTGTTTAGAAAGTAAATCAAATCCAACAGTGATAACTGTTAACAAATCAGGAATTATGGAAGCAATTCGTAAAAATGATCAAATTTATAAATTTATAATTTAACCTTATTATTACTTTATCAAACATCAGTGTGGAAAATGGGTGATAGTTTTCACCCCTTGCAACAACCTTAAAGGATGTATCTGCCTCTGGCATGTTTTCTTTCTGGACGCAGAGGCCTTTCCTCTCTGACAATGTTTTCTGGATCCATGAGGACCAACAGTGCTCTCCCACGGAACCTCTGCAAACAGAAATCTTCTCTGAATTATGACAAACTGTAGCTCATCCTCATGAGCTTTACAACAGTGGCATACTTTCCATTCCCTCCTTCAGATCAGTTATGGAAACATGAAAGAGTACCAGGTACAGGATGGATCCTATGAGGCTCTCTATTCAATACATTACATTTTCATTTTAACAGGGTCCTCCTGATGAATGACAGGAACTCTCTGGATGCAGGTATCCTACCATTTCTGCTATCCTAGTGCATGATTTGGTGAGGAATATCAGAACAAAAAGGTATAAAAACACTTCCCAGAAGCCTTTTTCCATATTATTCCTATTCCATATAATAACCATATAAACACTCTTCATTTTACTAGTGCATTTTCAGAATGATTACTTATTATTCTTCACGTCTCCAGCTAGTGCCATTTTGCTCTGTGCTTTGGCCCTACTGATTTTATTTCCAGTGCTTATATTACTGTTTTACACTTACCTGCGGTAATTTGACAGAAGTAATTCTTAACTGCCATTTTATTTCAACTTGCCATCAATCTCATGATGTAGCCCCACGTATTTTTCACTATATTTACCTACATTTCTATGGGAGGATACAAAAGAGCAAGGAAACAAAAAAGATGTATGGAAAGAAAGCACAATAAAATTAGCTCAAAAAAAGAGACTGACTCATTCCACATTATGGAGAAAGAAAATGAGAAAAGGAATATTTAGCTATAGAGGAGACAGGAATGGCAACTCAAACATCATCGTGTATGTTATTTCCACACATCCGACATTTATCTCATTGCTGTATTCATTTATTTAATTCCAGTACTTACATGTGAGTGACTTTGCTTAAACTGTTGAAGGAATGGGCCTCCAGACTCTGAAGTGTTTCATCTATAGAGATGTAGCTAAACACCAACAAACAGAAAAATAAACAGGTCTCAGACACTGGGAAGCCACTGCTAGTGCCCATCATACCACTTCATTTTTCCTCTCATTATTTTTCTTATCCACCTATCATGACACTGCCAGACACATGGACAGTATCTGAGGGACACACTTTTAAAATCCTTTTAAGGATTTTGATTTTAACTGAAGCTTTAGATGCACATCATACTGCCGAATACAGTGAAATCAGAACAACACACAGCAGTGCTAAGTAGCAGCAAAAGCAGACACCAGTATTTCACAGTTCAGCATGATATTTCTTCCCTTTTTCCCAGCTTAAGATCACCTTCAATATCTCCAGGGATAATCTAGCCCTTAGGAAAATTGGCACATTTCTCTATATCAAAGAATTAAAAAAAGGAAGGAAAGAAACAGAGATGATCCTTGGGCTACCACTGCAACAACTGTTGCGATTTCTGTAGAGGGAGAGGTCATCAGGGCAACTGGTGCTTTGATTGCTAAGTTAAAAACATTCATGTGCTAAACATGAATTTCGAGAGAAACTCCAGCCATACAGTGAGTGTGGTAGAGGATGTTAGGAGTAATGTGGCTCAGAAAGAAAGCCAGACAACAAGCTTAAGAAATATTTACTTTCACACAGTTCAGACTGTGTTGCATTTGTACTAATGGTGATCTTTATGATGAGAAAATAGCTCTACAGAGTTACCATTATTAGGAGAATGATAACATTGTAACTACTATTACATGCTTGACCAATCTGCAAATGACTAATAACACTAACTGGATGGGAATTTTAAGTCTTTTTCAGACTGGAGCTAAAGCATATTACCTGAATTAATGTTAACTCTTTAACTGTGTGATTTATTTTGTATTGGTCGCTTTGGAGATGTATTCAACTGTCTTTGAAAAGACAACAGAAAAATAACAGGTAGAGATTGCATGACTATCATATTCTCTTTCTAGAGTAATATTGTTTTTCCAAAGCTATTAGCCTCTTCCAAAAGGTAGGAAGATAATAAAAGAGGAATATAATAAAAAAGTATTCCAGTCTATACCTCTGTGACTGAGTGTTGCAGAGTTACATGTTTATGTGAGATGTTTTAATTTTGTTCTCCTGTAAATAATAATGTCTCTTGACTAGGAAACTGGGGTTCAGTCTTGGAAGAAAAGTAATTATTCAATTCTAACAGACCCTACACTTTAACATACCAAAAGAAAGGTTATGCTAATGACATATTATAAAACATATGTAGCAAACAGATATATATAAATGTTTGACAGAAAATGAAATTAAACCAGGTAATGAACAGAGATTGCATCCTCATGCCAGGGCTAGAAAGTAGGAGAGCACTTTTTTTTTGCTCTGTAGTCAAAGTGAGTCACCTCACATCAGGCAGGCAGGTGCTTTTCTCTCACGTATGAGAAGGGGATTCCCTCTCCCCTCCCTCAGCCCTACAGCCATCATGTACCTTCCCACCATGATTCGTGTCACATTTTTATTTTACTCTTTACCGCCTGGCTTGGACCTGATCGAGGTATAGCTTTATATATTTTTCAACCATAGGATCCAGTGGGAAAGAAATAGCTTATTTTCTTCATGTGTTGACCTCTGCTCTTCTGCTTCATAAACATATACATTTGTGTAAATTAATTAAACCACACCATCATTGATGGCAGGGAAATGAGTAGTTTTATTTGCTTTAGGGTCATGTAAGTAAACACCCAAACCCCATGCAAACACACTCAAAATCTCCTCTGAGATGGGGATGTCAAACAGAGACATGTTAATGGCACATAAACATTTACTTCTAAGTATTCGGAGTGCCTCCAAAAACCTGTGGGCTCTGCGCCTTGAACACATAGTATCACACATTAAATGTGAGCAATAAAAATCATAGTAATCAGAACTGGAAGGAGCTGCATCAGAAGAAGAGAGAAAGCATGTTTAAATTCCCATTTTGAATGCATGTTACTATTCAGCACCTCCTCTGCCTACCAGCTGTGTTTAATTTGCAAGATTTCAAAATGCCTTCAACACCCATCATGAATGCATTGATAGCTTAAACACCAGATGCACAATTTCACAGAACGTCTATTTGCGGACAACACTTTAATCACCGTTACTCATTCAGAAAGAGCCTGAGAGCACAGGATTTGTCAGATGGAGCAGCCACAAGGCCCCCTACCAGCCCTTATTTTCTTCATTCTCCCTCTCTCCACCTTTTTTGCTTATTTCCAGCCTCAGCATTCCCTGTGTTGCAGGAAAATGGTGCGTGGGGGAAAATGTGCTTTGCATGGGGCTGCTGGTGGAGAGCACTATGGGATGCAACTTTGTATGGAGAGGCTGTGGAAAAACACTTCGGGGAGCTACGGGTCAGGTATCTGTGAGGTACTCATTAATGTGACCCCAAAGCACCACCCTAAGCCCAGGAAAAATGTTCCTTATCCTTGCCCTTAAAAATACTGAATGTTCACTATATCCTTAATTCAGTAGGAAACAGCAGGTGAAGCCCTTCTAAACAAAATTTAATGTATTTGTGTCTTTAAGAATGTGTGTATATGGCCAGTCTCTTCGCGAACGAAGAACCGGGGAAGGTCTTTCCACCTTCCAGCCTGCGCATTGGATTTTTTAGGTGAGACACAGTGTGCGCGGAACTGAGCCCACCCTTTAATCCTGAGGTTCATCTGCCGAGGCCAAGCACGCTTGGACGGTGGCAGCGAGGTCCTCAGGACGTAGATGGATTGCCTTACAGGCTAACGAACTCCATCTGCCCGGGGAGGGGCCCCGACCGGGAATCGAACCCGGGTCTCTGCAGTGACAGTGCAGTGAATTTTCCCCTGGACCACCGGGGGCTCCCCTTTAAGAATGGGCTCCCCTTTAAGAATGTAAACCAGAAATGTCTTACACTTGAATAGCCTATAAAAGCATTTTGTATTCAGTAATGCTTTTCTGATAGGAGTTAGCTTTGCAGTTGAGCATGTAATTAAAATGCTTTTTCTTTCATTCCTGTGGAAAAGCAGCACAGGGAGACAGCCTGCTTCTGGCTATCAAGAGTACATATATATGCATTCATTTACAAGAAACTGTAGCTCTAAAATTTTTGTTTGAACTAGGTTCATAAA